GCAAAGTTCAAGGACCTGAGCCCTAGTCAAAAACGAGTTGACGCTTTACTTTGCTTTGCGCCCTCATGCTTTTGAAGCGAAGACATTTTTATTGTGCCTGAAAGCCGTCGAGGACCTCGCAATAACAATGGTGAATATATTTGGTCCTATACGCTTCTCTACAGAAAGAAAACTCAACCAAAAATTTATAACAAAATTTTCTGCCAGCCTAATTCGTTAGACGATAGTGATCGCTGCTCTAAAGATAAAGAGTACGTGTTCAAAGGAAAAAGGACTACTGGTTCACTTATTAATAAACTAGTGGCAGTTCAAATTTTACCTCATTTTTCTATTTTTTCACGAATACAATGATTTGTAGCTCGCAATTCGACGCTTGGACGTGGTTCGCACCGCCCAACCGCTCAATTTACTGCATCGATTACTGCGAACTCTGGATTATTTCTCATCTGTCATCTCATGCTACACCTCCGGGCTTCAAATCGACCTCATGCTTTGTTTGTGGTCTCTGAAGACCACATGGAACCTTTCATTTTAGGAGTTCAACTCCGTACTGCCTTGTGATATGCTATAGCTTTAATTGTATTTTGTTTTTCGTTCTGTGTTAGGGTAACTTCTGTGATTTATTACAATCGTGTCTTTAACTTTCGTATTCCTGTCACACTCTGCTCTTTTTGAGCTTCAAGCTGCAACACTCTGCACAGCTAGACCAACGCCCTTTCAATGTTATCGAAATTCCGATATAATCGCATGTTCTCATATGGAGATATCGAGCAAAAATCGTTGGCTTTTGTACTAAAAGTCCTTTTTGTTCTCCTCGTGGGCGTAACTGCAATGAGATTGGTTGGATATTCATCCGTTCCGATTCATTTTGGCACGTCATGAGGTTGGGTCCATTAATCTCTTCTGAGGCATTAATCCAGCGTTCTTTCTTTGAATTCGCTATTAATTGTATTAGGTGGAAATTCTCAGGAAGGTTTCTCCAATGAAAACTCTCAACATTTGCTAGAGATAATTCGTATGCTTTATTGCTACACGTCTGGTTTTCATACATTTTTGACAAATTTATATTTTCTGAGTTGGAGTATGTTATAGAGTATAGGTTTCAACGACCTTATGTTCATTCTAGTGATTCTGCATTTAACATTTAACTGCAGGCCATGTCGGTGTTCCTCTTTAGTGATTACTGTTTTCTTCTAATCAGTTATAGCACCAAATTTCTCTCGCGAACTGCCTCTTGTTCATAATACATCAAGGGAATGCAGTCTGAGCTATCTCTCTTTTGTTCGAATTCGTTCTAATCAAACTTTTCATCAGCTTTTTTTTGTACTGGTTTGCATGCATAATAGTGATTTTGTTGCTAATTCGTACCAGTTGCACAAATATAATGTCTACTGCATGGTAATTTGAATTTTTTGACGTGTAATTTTTTATAGGTTAAGTCTGTTAGGCTGCGTTCATACTCTGCGTTGTACGCCAGCCTCTGAAGCGCTAGGAGAAGATATTTATCTACCTAATGCTTTTAATGTTCGCGAGCGACTTTGAAATTTTCGCGCGCAGTCGCTCAAAACGCTGACGCTAGGTATGAACGCAACTTAAGGTTTTTTTTCAAATCTCTGTGTTGTTGTTAGTGCGTCGCATTATTGTTTAATGGAACAGTGTATTTTTCACAGTGTTTCTAAAGTCTGTATTGCGTGATTCGAAATTGACCTTTACGGATCGTATCTGTAGTTATTCGATGTTCTGGAGTGATTTCTTAATCAGGGAATTTGGAAATCAAAAGCCAAATCAAAATTGTGCACTCGAATGAATCGAATAGTTGAAATAAACATTATAACTAATCGTGTTAGTCGGTTGACATAGGCTACTACACCACTACATCAGTTTCCTTTTTTCTGTGTTTTCTTTTGACGTTGATAGCCCAGAAGTAGAGCTAAGAACTGATCAGATGCTTCAACCGCGGTTACTACTATGGGTAGCATGTAGGAAGAGGTTATCCTCTACGGTAGAACTTTTGAAGAAGCCAATTCTTCCGAAAAAAGCGAGATCAGACGGAAAAGTACGTTGACTTCTTTCTCAATTCCCCCTCATCGTAGCTCGTACCCTTAATCCGAGCTTTGCTATAGGCAGGAACTTTTGTCGATTACCGCCGAGTACGATGCATTGGTGGAAACGGTGGAGATGGGATGGTTTCGTTTTTCAGGTGATACATTCGAAACTATGCTGGTAAACTCCACATTAAGTCCATATTTAGTCATCCGTTCCACTTTCAGAGGTTATCGGAAACCATTCGGTGGCCCAGATGGCGGTGATGGTGGGAACGGAGGTCATGTTCTGTTCAAAGGTGCTGAAAGATTAGGTTTCCTCGAATCAAGAACTACGGTCTTTTCGCTGCGGATGGAGTTCGCGTGTCAAGCGGGACGGGTTCGGCGCCTCCCAAACGCTTCTCCACCAGTTGCAGAGAAGGGTAAGCGACAAAGATTGATGGAAAACAACAGATATGAAAAATGTGATGCAATCTTGTTGCTTGCTCTTCCTCAACTGCTTGTGGTAAGCGGATTTGGCGTCGCGCTAAACCGATCCCACCTGCCACGCCCTCTCAGTCGCGCGAACAAGTCAGTACCTATTCGCAATAAAAGCTTGCAGACACCACTTGTTTCTGTTTAAATGGAATTTTCTAGCTAGTCTTCACGCAAAGGATCTTTCACATCTCCGATCCATAGAGAAGGCTAGAAATGGCGAGTTTGGCGGATCGAAGTCATGTCACGGCAAATCAGCTGATCATCTAGAGGTTATCGTGAATACCGGCGCTTTCTCTTCAAAAAGACCACCTTCCTACTTTCAGATCCGGGTACCGATTGGTACGCTCTTCAAAAACGATGGCACCGTAGTGTTCGAACTAGTCAATGAAGGCGATGTATGTGCGGTTTCGTTAGTTTCCAAGCAGCTGTTCCATTCGTTGTGATAACGTGAAGATGCTTAGATTTTTGTCGGAGCACGCGGTGGTGCTGGTGGCCATGGCAATCAATTTTACGTTTCCAATGAAGTGCGAAAACCGTACAAAGCGGAGATTGGTGGCAGGGGTGAAGAGGTTAGTGGTAAACATCTACATGGCATATTTCTCGGAACTTCCAAGCAATGAATGATTACAAAAGGTAGCTGTAGGATTATGTGTCTGAGTTAGCAGAGCTGTGCTCTGAAACCCTTCTGCGTGATTCATAATCGTAGGTGTTGTCCCTCTGCCGCACTGCCAGTCCACGCACCTAACCATAGTCAGACGCGCTTCTTGACTGCACCCTCTCATTTGCTTGTTCTCTACCGTTAACATCGTGTTTACACCTAGGTTTCGCCACAAGAGCTGCACATGACAGCCTGACTAATTCCCAAACGGGACCCAGGGATCACTCCTTGAGCCCTACCTGCACGCGCTCTCAAGTGACGAAAGTGTAACAGTCGCACAGTGGCCTTCTTTCTTCTTGCATATGGCGAGACAAGAACAGTCCTCATAGTTGAGTGCGCAACTTGTCCTTGAGGAAAACCCACAATCTGCTTGCTTAGAACTTGCTCTGCAGATGAAAAAAACCGTTCTGTACTCTGGAGTCCGTAAAATAAAAAGGAGAATGTATGAAAGAATATATCATTACAGGTTGTTTACGACGTAGAAATGCGGGTGATCGCTACAGCGGGTCCTCGTAGGATTACCAAATGCTGGAAAATCGTTAGTTTTTCGTTTATTTTGTTGTTTTTTGAAGGTGTAAAAGTAGATCCCGTATTCATTTAGAGTACAGGCGCCTTGCTTGAGTGAAGTAGTCCTATTCGCGAGCACAGAAAGTGTGTCTTCCTCCTGGGTTAAAGCGCCTGAGGGCGCTAGGCACTCGTGAAGAAGGTGCCTTATCCACTGCTCCGCAGCATACCCATCGTTTAATGTTAGTGGTAGGTGGTGCGGTTGTCTCTACCTCTCTCTTTCCATAGGGAATGGTGATAGTGAGGTGACAAAAGAAAAGAGCTAAGATATAGTAGGCTCGTCCCAAGCCCGCCCGGCATTTCGGGAGGTTTCTTTCCGTCTTTCGCGATTCATCTACTACCTTGCC